TGGGCAGACAGTTCACAGCACAGCCGGCGGCAGAACCCCGCAGCCCTGTCTCTGTCGCAGGGGATGCTTAACCTTGTGGTCTAATGGAAATCAAAGGGGAATTTGTTTGAGTTTGTAAAATCTGTATGCAAGTCTAATTTTGACCAGCAGCAACTTCAGTGAGTAGGCTGGTGTAAAATTTTCACATGATTTGTACTGGAGGAATATATACTTCCATATCTAAAGAAACACCCACAGAAATTCTTTTACAGAATCACAATAGTCAGTATGTGAGATCTCACTGCCCCAGAGGCCTTCTGCTCCGATGGTGGATGAATCAGACTCTATATACCATGGACAATGAGAATCAAGTGCTTCACTTTTATCTGCATGCCTTATTTCAAAATGTAAAGGTCATCTAATACACGTTAAGTGAACTGTACAATAGAGGAGACTCTCAAAGGCCACAGAGACTAAAGGCAATAAAAGGAGGGAACGGTAGGTCAACCTGAGAAGATGTTCCTGTGGCATACAGAAATTGGATGATGTTCCTTACTGACAGCAAAACCACAGCAATAGCCAGCTAACGTCCGACACTTGCTAACAGGGAATTTCAATGGAGACAGAGGAGGAGACCAACGCGGAAAAGGGCAGTGAGTTGCCCAGAATCACATCGGGAGCGTGGGGTGCCTGAGTTGTCATCTCTTGTACTGGGTTCTTCACTAACCTGCCACCTCCCATTTCCATCAACGTGGCTAAAAGCTCCCAGGCTGTTGTGTTACTGGATGAGGTTGCCCAAGCAGCAAATTCACGCAGTTTCGTGAGACTGTGAGCATCTAACATAATCCTTAACTGTATTCAGACATTCAGTATCTCCTTACACTATGTCTTTAGAGATGAAGTCAGGTAAGCCTCAGCCTCCACGGGGCGGAGGGAGAGGGTACTTTTCAGTGGCTAGAGCCTCGCGTGCGGAGGTCTCCCGTGGCACAGCAGTTCCCGGCATCGAGCAACTTAGGAGATGAGGCCAGAGAGAAGCGGAGTCTGGGTGAAGAGCAGAGCAGCACGAAAGCCTGGCGCAGCAGAGCGAGTAGCCAGAGGCGGCGAACAAAGGGAGCAACGCACAGGCGGGTCCTTCTGAGGGTGCTGTGGGAGAGGCAGCAAAGACAAAGGAGGGGTTATGGGTGTAGCAGGGAACGAATATCTTCTGCCAAGGAAAAAAGGTGGGTTTCCAGGTCTGTTCTTAATGGCGTTACCCAGTCCTGTTGATCGAACCTTCTCAAAGAAGCTGGCAGGGGCAGTAAACAATAATTAAGGCGCTACATTCCCAGAGTCCTCCTTTGATGTATGCTATGGGTAATCTTGAAGCTAAGGGGAAAAGGGAACGCAGCGCAACGAGCTCCATGAGGGCACGGAGCTGGCAGGCTGTTTAAATGTAATGGTGTCTCAGCTCTCGGAGGAGGAGAGGATCTCCCGTTTCAGGCCTCTGAAGGGCGAAATTACCAAATGAAAACTGCAGCAAGTTCCACCAAAACTGCAGCCATCAATACTACAGCTTGTTTTTAACAAACAAAAGTTGACAGGATAAAGGATGGGGGTTGAGGGATGTCTGCACTGTACGCCAAGGTTTTTCTAAAAATATTTTACACCTGCTATTCGTTCCATACACTGATCATATTTTGTCTATGAGGTAGAGAACTCGTAGTGCCAAAGGGAATGTGGTTTATCTTCCTGAGCCTTAATGCTTTTTCCCCTCTCTAAGGCAAAACTCCTTACTCCCGTCACTAAAATAAAGCCAAGAGGACAAAAGTCATACGCACACTGCCACGGTAACAGTTTAACCGTTCCTCTCGCTGATCTTTGGAAACAATCCCTTCAGCAGGCATTTCTGATGATATAAAAAAGAGTGATGAACCGCCGGTTTGCTTCATCTGCTCCAAAACTACCAACACAAACTCCGAGGTATTTATTCCTGAAACGTTAATAGAACAGTCTGGAGCATTAGATCAGTAAATGAACTCTAGTTTGATCCCAGGCCGGTCCAAAGAGCTGATTTAACAACTAGTTGTTTGGTTACTTGATATTTCAGAAATGCAACTGGGCCGTTTGCTACTAACAGGCTTTTGCACGTTGCAATACGGTGGGAGCGCAGGGTGCAGACAGCTGGGCACGCGGCCGTGCCGTAGCTGGGTCATCATCTGCCACGGCTGTCTGTAGCAAGAGATCGTACGAGCAGCGTTTAATAGCTTTCTAATTTTGCGTGGTGAGGAGAAGGGATGGATCTTTCTGTGGCTTACACCCCGTCCTCAATTTGTATAAATTAGGGTAGGGTAGTTGAAGTTAAGGGAACTACAAAAACTTGTACTCACCGAGGCTCCGGTGCCAGGCCAGCCTGGGCCCTCTGCATTCCCGTCCGCAGCAGGGACCTTTGAGAGCACGACGCAGTAACGAAGCACTACGCATCGTAAACTCCACCTGTGAGCTGCCTCTCCTTCGCAGAAATAATCCGATCAATTTGATGCTGGTGACCACTACTAGACTTCCGACCGAGAGCGAGGTCTGTCGTCTACCCACAAACCAACTACAGGACAGACCGTAGCTGTCCATCGAATCCGCTCCACCCCGCCACGCCAAGATGCCTCTGAGCTCAGTTTCACAGACCGCAGATTGCGATTTTCAAAAGTCATCGACTTGTGCTGAATTGAGTGAGCCTTACCCATGAAAGTGCTTCTCACTCGTGCTTGGGTGGGGGCTCTGAGCGAAGAGAGGGGATGCACTAAGCAGCGTCGAGGGGGGCGCATACTTAGGGTTTTACCCTTTCCTTCACTGTAAATTAAAGACATCTTCCGAGGTTTAACTTACACCGGCAATTTTAAGGAAGTAAATTGCACGTTCTCAAGAGAAAATACAAAAGACCTTGCACAACTGAGCAAATGCTTCCTTTTCCCCCTTTGCTCCTTTTTAGGTCCTTTCTCTCAGAGCAAATGCGCTTACCTGACAGCACGGCTCGAGAGCAGAATGCGGGGTGCGTGCAAATTAAACCAGAGATTGGCTTGGCACTCACTTAGAACAGAATGTTGCAATGTAAATGTTTAACAAATTCAGCACCAAACTTTAGCAAAAGATAAATAAATGGGTGAAGTAGACGGAACAGAAAGCACACATCTTTAATTTCTATAGGGAGCAAGAGAAAACAGCAAAAATCTTCACATCGGCGTTCTTTGAGAACTCTGGAAGCTCTCTCCACAGACTGCGGCCTTGCAAAGCACCATAAACAAACCCGACTTATTAAAATCTTTCTATTAAAAGGTGCTGCAAAAAACAACCTTGTTTCCAGAGATTCCTCCTTGCTGCAAACCACTGGTCTTCATACGCAGAGCTGGTTACAGTGGAAGCAAACAAATCGGCGTGGGGAGAGGATAAGCTCCATGACCTTTAAGACAAACGATCTCAGTTTAAACCACGGGAACAGAAATATTGCAGCACACCTAGAGTAGTCTCCACTGTTAAAGTTGCTCAAGCTTCTAGGCAGTTTAGGTATTATTCTTGTATTGTGAATACTAAAATTGTAGTAAGTCTTAAAGTCTAGGCATAAAATAGAAACAATACACAGAGCTAACATCCTCCATTTTTCAGTAATTGAGCCAATATTTTTTTTTTCTAATTCCTTTTTAGAGCAAAATCACCCACTTAAAATTAGATACCAAATGAAGCACTTTTAAGTACGGTTCTGTCCACTGATGTGCCGTTAGTGGAAAGATAAACCAGATGGCAAACTCAGTAAAGAGGAGCCAGTTAAACACAGACGGATGAACGCCTAAGAAACCATTCGCTCCATTATTGCTTTTGAACCGGTTGTCACGGCGTTAGAAACCGGTACCATTGTCAGCCTCCACCTCCACCCCGTCCACAGCAAAGATCTCACACCGGTGTGGAAGAACACCCCCGTCCTTACCGCGCGAGGCCATTTCCACCAAAACTCTGCTCGCGCCAAAGCGGGGGCGCGTGCGCGCGTGGAATTTACGCCTTTTGTAAAATCAAGTGCATCACGTAGGACGAGACTGATCTTCAGTCTCAAAATCCAGTTTCAGAATACTAAAGATCAGATGGTTTTAAACCTGCGCTCCTTCCACAGCTTAGCGTTCATCATCACGAGCCCAAGGACTTTCCACTTAGCATCTATCTTCTCTTCGTACAACTGGAACTGCCATGGAAAATAAGTTGACGTTTGTTAGATTGACGGCTTAAAGCAGCAAGTTTCTCTTTCCACACTATTTGCCGAAGAGACGGAAAAGAGTAAGGGATGCAACTTCAAAATAGCCCTGGAAAAGCTGAGTTGTTTTGTCAGCCTCTGAATTCTTTCTCCTCCCACGCACATTCACATTTTGAGAATCTATTAAGTTAAAATCGGTAAAATCCACTAAAATAAAAACCTTAGGATGTCACATTGTAGCTGCGTTACGTTTCTCTTTTTAATAGAGCATACAAAATGAAAGTTTACAATGAGTTTAGCAAACTGTAAATGAGCGCTTTTATTCAGTCTAGTTTCTGAGCTGTTAATCCCCAATACAGAAACAGCACGCTGACGCGCTGGGCTAGGACCTCTCCAGAGAATAGTTCAAATCCGTCCTGATGACACGGAAAGTGAATTTCATTGAAACACCCGAGTCTCTTCTGGATACATCATATCACACAACGCCTCGCCGTTCACACAGCTTATGGTCTTAACTCTCAAGGGGAAAAAAAATAAAATTACCTCCCGACTTCTGGGAGCTCCAGTTATGGAAAACAAGCAAAGTTTGCACAAATAATCGTAGGCGAGTACCTAACCAGGCTCTGTGCTTTGTCAGTTGTACTGTAGGTACAGCAAGCCATTATCGCGGTGCATCGATACAGCAACCCTTTCCAGCGCTCCTTTGTGAGGCACTGAGTCAGGCTTTTTCGCATCATTAGCACTGACAACACAATAAACGCAGCGCTGCCATCTCCAGCAGAACAGTAAAAACGCAGACCACAACAGTCGATTAATTTTAAAGAATTTTAATACAAACTTAATATAAACTATTTCAGTCCCTCTTAACATGTAAGACACTGACTCAAAATACTTTTATACCTTTTTTCAAGTATTGCACAATGTAGGTACAAAATTAATATTTACGATTACATTTTCTTCCATAATATATAGCAAAAATCTTTAAACTTTTAACAGAAAATACAATTTGTGTTTCTTTTGAAAAAAGCAAATATTTCGTACATTTTAATTCCACCACTAAGGAATATTCTGTACACAACTTTTTATTTTTTTTTAGAATTGATGTCTTTAAGATGGATATCTTACAATTTCAGTAAAAAAAATACAACATGAAGCTGCTGCAGCTGTCACAGATCACTGTAGTAAAAAGATATAAATGCAATACCATGTTGTAGAAACAATATATATACTCTGATATTTTACAAACTTTGTACTAAATTAAATTATACAATTAGAAAAAGACCAATAAACCCACCTATTAGTGCCAATTTTTTAATATATATATATACATATATGTTGGTGTACATATATATATACACACATGAAAAAAATCAGCCACGTCCTTGCTATATCTTAAATACTGTAAGAGGCCATATTTTGAGAGTATATTTTTGTAATGTACAGTCAGTATAAAATAATTTTGTGCTTGGTTGGCAAATGAAAAAATGATGCATGTCGTATTTATCTAACCAAGCTTGAACGTATTCATACTACAAGCCTTAAAAAAAATCTCAAGAGGTGGAAAAAAAGATACACCCTTGGGTACGTGCATTTTAACTTGTACAATAGTATTTACTTGTATTTCACTTCCGTTTTATTTTTAGTTAGCCATAACCGGCTGGAACTGCTGGTTAGAATACTGCATGTTGTTTAAACTAAAATTCAAGCCATCCACAAAAGACTTCTCATTTAGACCTCCATAGGCTGCAAACATGTCAAAGGCATTACTGTACTGGAGAGGACTGAGGTTAAGGGGACTGTCACCAGGAAAGATGCTACTGGTACTACCTTGACCCTGCATGTTGGGGAAAATGAACTCCTTTGCGTTAGGAGAAAGGGCAGAAGTCTTCTGCTGTTGTTGCTGCTGCTGCTGCTGACTGCCTAAGCCAAGCCCGTAGAGAGAGTGCATGGAGGAGGAGAGGGCTTTCTGCTTCAACAGGTCATTGACATTCAAGCCAAGGTTGGTGGGAGAGGTGCGGGCGACCTTGTTGCTACGGCCGCTATTCTTCATTTTGGTCGAGCCAAACTTGGTGGCAGCAAATGTGGCAGTGGTGAAGGTTAAAGGCTGAGTGGAGCGGGGCATGAAAGTTGGGCTCACAGCAGCAGAGTGACCAAAGGGAGGAGAAGGAGAACTAGACACTGAAGATGCTGGGTCACTAATTGGCATGAACACCTGGGCCTCTGGGTTAAAGCTGTTCTTGATTTCCTTATCCAACTCACATCCATTTTCATTATCATCCACATAAAGCACTTTCACTGGTCCCTTTTCACCGATTTGGTATGAAACCTCAAACGGGTCAATCCAAACACTAAGATCCTGAGGCAAGTTGCCACGAACATCATCAATGTCCAAACCACTCTCTTTGGATGCTTGTTCTATGACCGGGTCCACTTTCTCCCCTATATGTATACATCTAAACCCTGATCCTTTGTATGGCTTTTCTGGATACCAGTGCCCTTCATACTTCTTCTTAAGAAGTCTTTCAAGCTCTTCACCAAAAATGTTGACACGTCGTCTGGGAAGCTTATTGTACAAATATGAAATAATAAAATTGAGTGCTACTTGGATTTCAAGCTGCATAGCTGCTATGCCACAACGTTATAAGTCTGTTTCAAAACCCGAAGAAGAAAGTGTTCAAGATGCCACAGGGAGACAAAATTTCCTTCAAAGTGCTGATCCTAGTTGATTATTATCCTTCACCTTGAGTGCTCTTGTTCCTTTAAGAAAAAACAAAAGCAAACACATCCAAATAAGGAAAGCGTAAGACCAAGCTCCAAGGCCTATTCTTTTAGCTTCACTTTCTGCATAAAATGGGTTTCTTTTTAAGTCAAAAAACGTGCATCAAACTATTTATGTTCATGCCTGCGGAAGGTGAGGATGTCAGCTACATTCAGTACGACTTACAAACAATACCGCAGAAGATGCACCAGGCATGTGTTTACATATACAGCACGGGGCATTTCAGAAATCACATGAGCTTGCCGTTCAGTTATTCACAAAGCAGCACGGATAATTTTTAAGACATCACAGACCGCCAGGCCTGTCAAGGGTTCAATTACCAACCCGTATTTGAATGATTTATAGTACTCAGCTGCAAAATTTAGCACCAGACTATTAGTTTAGCTTGAAAGGTCGTAGTCCAAGGGTCATTTATCATTTTGAAGTTTGCAAACATAATGGTTGCACTGTAAGCTACAGAATTATAAAAATGTTAACAGTTGCTTTAGAAGATTTCACACAAATAACTAAAATTATGCAACATGTATTTTAGGTCCAAGCAAATCATCTGCATAAACTGTGCGCTGGCGAAATTGTGCTAACTGAAGAGAAAATGTCCGCTGTACATATGCAACAATTCTTCCTCAGAATAGCTAAAATGATAATGCAGTCAATGCATACAAAACAGATGCATGTATCTTCTGTCCTAAGGGCGACAATGACCGTGAAATTATTACAATAAATTAATTCACAAATTTTTCCCTTTCTACAAATTATTGTATATGATCAGATGCAATATATTACTAAATATATATACTAAATATATATACTAAATTCATATACTGCGTTGTCTATAGTCCAGATTTCAAAAAGTTACTAGAGCCAACAGGGCTTTTGACAGCCTCAAAAATGATTGCTTTTCCCCTTCTGCATGACTCCATTTTATATTTAATATAAAATATGGTTGCCACTCCTTCACAAAGGACAAAAGAGAAATTAGCTATCTAAAAGTTAAAAAAGGAACAAGAATCAAGTATTAGCACACGTACTGCTAATGAAAATTCTGCAGTACCTTCGCATAAAGGCACTCATCCACAGGAGACACCTTTGTTCGAAAAGTTACAGTGAAACAAAATATGTATTTCTTGGCTCAAGTTAAACGCCCAACGAGAATTTCAATTAACAGTGTGCTTTTCTGCACTGCATCACTAGGAACAAAAATTTAGTGCAGCTGTCACTAAAGATTAGAGAAATCAAAGTCAGTATTCAAAATCCTTTAACAATATGAATACAATGCTTTTTTTATTTCTTGCTCCAAATAATCTCCTTTTAAAGTCTGGAACCCTATTTCCGAGCCACTCGTGTTCTCCCCAACATGGTATGGGAATAGTTTGAAAGCTTGTACGATAAGGCGACCTTTAAACGTTTGCTGGATCAGCACTGGGTGGGGATAAGGAAAAGATCAAGGGCAAACAGAAGATATTTACAAAAGGGACACAATCAGTACAGAAAAGCTGATTGGGTGGTTAAAAGGGGCATTTAAAAATGATTTATTAATCCATCTGTTTTGTTTCCCTTCCTCCACGTCCTTTAGGAATAAAATGATCCTTTCAAAGGCGCACCGGGCAGACGCTATAAATTTTTCTAAGCCCCAAAACTGATGGGTGGTACAAGCAGCTGATCAAACAAAATCAGCTTGACCATTTCAAACTTTCCCCCCCCCGTTTCAGGAGGCCGGGATGTCTCAGGGACCCGCGCCCCGCCAGCAGAGCCCCGGGCCGTTACATAACCAGGCGGTCGGGTCTCATTAGATTTCTGCTCACAGCCCTGCGAGCGCCGGCAACGGCAGGAGGAGGAGGAGGAGGAAGAGCATTTTCTGAGCCCGTTGAGAAAGAAAATGAAGAAGAGGAAGGGAGATGACCGCCCTTCTCCCCAGCGCGCAGGCCGGCACCCCGGGCCCGGCGGCAGCCCTCTCCCCCCCGCGCCGGGGCAGGGTCCCGGAGGACGCCGCCAGCGCTGCCCGGAGAGGCCCAGCGCAGGCAGCAGCTCTTAGTCAGCCGGCAACGCTCACCCCTCCCAGCCTGAGCGCGTCCAGGGACCGCCTCGGGAGGGACCCTGGGGCAGCCCGGCTCCCCGGGCCGTGCCCTCTGCCCCGGCCCCCCCTCGGAGGGGCTGCCGCCGGCTCCCCACG